AACAATAAGGGGTGTCTATCTACAATAACCTGCGTTTTCACAAAGACAACTTTATGTTGCACTATTAAGATGTTCAAACCCTGACAGCTTAATAGTCCTTATGCTTAACGCTTTCACATTGCCTCGACCTTCAAAAACGCTAACAACACCCTTTACGAAAGCCAAAGGATATTACACCAGAAACAAAGATTTCAAAGCTGCACTTTAACCAGCATTAACTCAATTGAACAAATATACAGCAAACCGTTCATTGTTTACTTTGTACAGTACACTTCCAGTAATAAATAGACACAACAATGGAAAAAAAAACAAGAGAACAATTCCAGTGGCACCGCCCTAGTAATAAAAAAAAAGCAAAAAGATATGACTACCAATTTTTTGAAAACCCCTGTTGATTTTGCACTGACAGTGGGTGTCAGAATATCTGACTCGCAAAAAAACTCATACTTTTCGCCTTGTCTTTTTTCCTGATCCTGCCGAAGCCAGCGAGATCTTGAGCGATTCTGCAAGTTCTTTGCATGATCTGCCTTGTTGAAGCTGTTTCTTTGCATCATTGACTTTTAATAGGAGAGTCTTTTTCATATTGGCAATGGTTGAGCTGAGGATTGTCCCAGAGGGTGAGGAGGTGATGGTTGAAAGTGTTTGAGCAAAAAAAAAGAAGGATGAATAAAAAACAGAGCGCATTATAAAGAGAAGAATGAGTACGTTGACAAATTAGAAAAATTGACCCAATGAAATCGGTGAACTTGAAAGCAGTGTGGATGACGACCAGATAAAAGTCTACCTTATTTGAGTTGTATATGGTGAAAAAGGTGAACAAAGAAAAGCTACTGTGGCCAGTTGAGGATGGATGGATGACAATAAAGAAAAGCGAACGAGCGAGACTCTTAAAAATCCGTTCACAGGCTTCCACTTGAACTCTTGCGACCTCAGCGTCGTTCGACACTTTCTTGATATCGTCGGAAGACCCTAGGTTGTTCGGGTTTCGAGCACGAAAATACACCACTGGTCGGGCTCGCTCTTGGAAGATCTCAAGACATAGTCACTAGAGTGATAAACACTAACATACAACCCGTCGTCGGCTTTAATGAGGAAGGTACCATCGGTTCTTGGGAATAACTCGAAAAGCGTGTCGGGATTGGTTGTGGCATCCCCGCGTGAGTGAAGGTTGCCATTATCTGAATGTCGGAATACAACAGCTCCTGTATCAAGGCTGAATCGAATCTTGTTGGTATCCGGGACACGCTCGATTAGCGTCATATAGCAGTATTGATCGACGGCCCCTTTGATGATCCGAATAGACCCATTGCTATGTCTTGAGGCAAAGCATTGGTTCGTGGGTGAATAAATGGTAAAGCGATCAGGGACAGTGACAAGAGCATTTGGATTGTTTGCTTCAGTGGGCAACATCTTATTGAAAGTTAGGAAGGAAGGGAGGTAGGGTGTTGTGCGTGAGAGGTGTTTGTGAAAGATGATCGTGAGAAATGTTTGTTAAAGGATTGTGAGAGATGATTGTGAGTGTTTTTATAGATATTCTACAATTCTGCTTATGAGAAACTTTACTATGCTTCTGTAAAACCGCTCCAATCATTGATTAAAGGTATACACAAAAAACATTTCATGAAAAAACCATTCTTCCATACGGGAAATTCGTGGGTCCTACATGCTAGGGCCATCTCGCTCTGCCTCTCCATTGGAGTACCCCGACCGCTGCGAAAACAAGGATATCCAGGATACCTATACACAGCAACTTATGCATCCTCTACCCTACGCCAACGCCCGCCCATGAAATTTTGCTTATCAATCTCGCTGACTGTCATTTAGGTGCTATCATGCAACTCTCACAATACACAGTCCGTTTTTCTCACGCCCCTGACAGCTGTTTCTATTGATTGGAAAGGGATAAGGAATTAGTGATTGGTGGACTAATGGCCCATCTTGCAGATGCCTTGCGTAACACCTCGAGTTTCTAATACCAGGAAGGAAAAGATTGCCTGCTCCGTGTCTAGTGATAATTCAATAGGGAATAAGAAGAAGAAAAAAGGAAAGCAAGAGAGGAAGAGGCGTTTTCTCGAAGTTTATAGAACAAAGGGCATAATCTCAGTCGACAGAAGCAACCAGGCTGCTCTACGGCTTATGGTATACCGTTCAATTAATGGATTCATCTCTTTCAATACTGTATTCGAAATTAAATTCGGTGGGAGCATAGAAGACCACCCTAGGTACAGTAGCATGATTCAGGATTGGAAGGTCTGTTTGTATTGATCGAGAAGCGTGGGAGCAAGAAAAAACCACATAGCGAATGTCGACATGCAGGATTTGACAAAAGAAAGCCATCAATTGAGGTTGTACAAGCGGGAAAGGTGATTTGTGCAATGGGCATGCATACCGTAAATGCTGTGTTTATGTTTGCATTCCAATAACATCACTGAGTTGCCTACCCTATCCGCTTCCGTAAAACACTTATGCTTTTCTTAAATCACTCACACTTTTCTTTCACCCTCTGTCTCTTTAATTGTGTCCCTCGCTCTTTCTCTGCTTATCCTCATTTATCAAAACCTAGCTGCTATCATCTCTTTTATAGCCTACAAGCCTAGTACAACGGGTTTTCATTTTCCCTTGGTTTTGAAATAGAGACAATCTCATTCTTCTAGTCGACGAAGGAAGTGTCCACCTCTTGTGGTGCATAGCTAAATGGTTGACAATAATAACCGCATTGATGCATTTTCAAATAAGCAATTGATTGACCAAACAATCCAGTCTGCGTCCTTTAGTCTAATCGCCTCAATATGGGGGAGGGATTTCTTGTTGGTTGAGTACGACCTACTGAAAGGTCGAAAACATTCATGCACGGGACGTTGCATTTGCGCCAAACCAAAAAAAACTCCCTCCAAACGCGATAATTAGCGCGTCTACGATAGCGGCCCTTAAGTGAGTAACAATCCAGAGACGCTTACTAGAATGATGCTTGACAGATATGGTAGGGAGAACGAACGTAAAAGGATCAAAAAACAACGTCGCTATAAATGCTTGGCTGCCACACGCCAGTTATCTCTTCATTGAATCTGCTGCATTCTTACAGATGCCCTTGAAATCTTCCCCAGTTCCCTTGAAATTTTCTTTGTGCAATGATGATCGATGCTAACTGAACAAGAAAAAAAATCACATACCACATAGCATCCCGACATGCAGGAACGAGCAAAAGAAAGAAAATCAAAGAACATCGCACAGATGAACAAGTTTATTCAAGCAAATGGATGATATTGCAATGGTTCTGTCTCAATAAAAAAAGCCGCGCGGTAGAGTGCTTATCCTATTTCGCTTCCCGTAGTACCAGTAAAAAAACTGTACTCCTTTCTCTCACGCTTTTCCTTTGTCGCTCCCTCTCTTCCATCATTATCGACTCATATCGCCAATGTTATCGCCTAGGACATACTGCATTTACTTGGTGCTTTATCTAACAGTCTTGCTTCAAATGGCCAGCTTCAGGCCCTTCTTAGTTAAATGGTTGATAACAATCGCATTGTGCATTTCATGCATGCACGCGATCGGTCGAATATTGTTACAAAAAGATGTGGTGGCTAGGCAGTGGCGGCAATGCTTTAAGTTAGCAGTCTTTTTCTTTAGTAGATAGTATTAGTAGTGCGCCGAGCCCTCTTGTCTGCTCTTTGTCCTTTTACACATCACTTCTTGGACGAGAGCAGTATTGACAAGAGTTTTGCTGGCGCGCTGCAGTGTATCGTTTCGTGTGATTCTTTAGGACGCTATTATTACTATCCCCGACTATCAACCCCCCCTCAACCTACAACCCCTCCCCCCCGTACCAATTGAGGACTTAACAGCGGTCCTACAACTCTGGCCTTCGAACCTCTCCCCTGAGTAACAATATGTAGCATATGCACCTCATGCAATCTGTTAAGGGGATGTCATTTTCTGGTGGTTTGCATAATCATGTGGCCGCATAAAAACTCTATATTTCATTTAAACAATTAACAATGCGGTCTGTTAAATCCTCCAGTGCTTTACAACAACGACGAATAAAAAATAACCCCCCCCCCCCCCCCAGAAACATCGAGCCCCTTTATGCATCTTCCATTGGCTAATCTCCCTCGCCCCTCTCAGGCTCAAGCATAACAAGCATAGCATTTCGAAAAGATGCTTGGGCATTCGTTTGCAGAGCGCGCATTCAGACTAGACGATACCTATCTTCCTCTTCCAACCCCGAGTCCACTGCGAGAAAAAAAAAGATAGTGAGAGGGGGGATTGAACATCAGTTGTCGTCGATATTGGTGTAAGTGAGTAAAGTCTTTATTGGACTCCGACTTGATGCGCACTTTTATATTTGCTAACTCCTGCACAGGAAGATACCGGACAAATTCGCACTAATGTTATGTTTTTCGTTTTTCTCTCCATCTCTAATGTCCTCTGCCAAGGAGCCACCAGGCAATAGAACGATACTTCCACTTGTTGCTTCCAGTGACTATCTTAATCTTCCATCCAGGTAAGATGAGAGAAATGCACCGTTTCCTCCCCTCTAAATCAAGCAACAAAGACTTACGGAAGCATGAAAATATTCGTGCTTAGGAAACCAAGTTTTTTTTGCAGCGGCCTATGTGTGTCTCAAAGCACTTGTTCCGGTCATACACTGTGGAAATAAAAATCAGACATGCATTGTCAAAATTAGTGAATTATGTGTATTCTGGCCACATCGAATGTTGATTCTTGTTGAATGTATAAAAGGATGACAAGTTGGGCCCAATGTTCTCAACTTCTTTTCAACCAACTCTGCACTCAACTCGCTCTCTCACACACACATCTACGCACAAGCACGCCCTCAGGTAACATAGTCGACTATGACTGTACATTCTTTTCAACTTATTCTACTGTGTTATGTCTTTTCCCGCCATATCTGCTCCGCGCGTTCGCGTTGTACTGTCCAGTGACTAACCCACAATGTATTGCGCTCCATTCAATCTTATTCGATCTTCAAAGCTACAACAATGCGCAAAGTCCTCTTTCTTATTACCGTGGTCGGTTTGCTCGCTTCCCTTGTATCCGCTGCCCCGACCTGTTTCAACTCGAATGCTCGCAAACAAGAGGTCTTCACTCATGCTGGTCACCGTGAGCCACATGACGATAGTGGGATCATCTACCTCCCTCCTGCCAGGTCTCGCAGGAGTTCCAATCTCGATACTATGATGGAGGAGCTGATTCGTAAAGAAATGACCACCACTTTCAGAGACTCCAATTACTTGGAATCTCTGATGGCCAAAGTTTGCGATGTGGATGCATCCGGAGATTTCATCGCCGATTGCGAGATTAAGATCCTTACCGAACCTAAGATCCGCGTGATTCCTACCAAGTCGATCTCCAAAGAAATTGTCTGCACTACCGTTACTTGCCATATTGGACTTGAAGAGTCCGTCTCGGTCTCGACCACAAACAGTCTCGAGGTCAGCATGTCGATCACGGCTGGCGCCAAACCCTTTGGTGTTGGCATGGAATTCACGGTCACGACCGGCTATGGCTTCAGCAACACTGTAGAAGAATCGGTCTCGCTTTCGTACGGCTTTGATCTGGTTCGAGGCGACAGCGGGTATATTGGCATGGTAAGCGCTGAAGTCTCGGCCTATGTGCGAGTGGAGGGATGTCGCTGCAACAACTTTCTTTGCGCGATTCAGTGTTCTTCCTCTGGTCTGAAGATAACTGAGGATGGACACCATGAGGCCGTGATTCTGAAGGACGGCACACCTCGCAGCTATGTTTCTTTTGTTTACACGAACTAAAGTAGTCCATAGAGCATACTACCCCTCCCTCCCTCCTCCCTGTCCTCCTTTGCAGAAGCTAGTTATTTATAAGTATTTCGTGCAATCGCATGATAACTACGGCGTACGCATTTACGCTGCAATTTAAAATGGTTTTTTACAGACCTTGAGTATTGTTGCTTGAAAAAATTTGGCCACTCATAATAACTTGCAATGGTGATGAAGGATGAGGATGAGGAAGATCTTTTACCTCATGGAAGGATAGGAGTTGGTTCTAGGGAGTGCTCATTTTAAAGGAAGGCACGTCCGCCTTTTCGATTCCAAAGAGAGAAGCACCGTCTAATGGCCGAGTGGTTAAGGCGCATGGCCCGGGCCAAGGAAAGTAAATTTTCACAAGTCATTAAGACTGTTGGAAAAAAAGGAGCCTCTGTAGCACTAGATGACTTCCTGTATTCAGTATTTCAGTTCAACGTAAATGCTACACAGATAGAAAAAGGCACAGCGCGGTGATGTTTATTCTTTGCCTTTTACAGAGACACAAACAATACCATGAGCTGGCCATTATTTTTCGGTGTAAACTGAGTGTTGTGTCTGATTTGGATCCCAGTGAGAAAGACAAACGTAACAACTGTGAATGCAACGATCGTTCAAACCATCCGTAAAACGAACCGCTCCCCTTATTTTGCTATTATTCTTCCTTGCCAGGGACTCTATCTGTGTGTATCTTTCTTTTATTATTAACCGTGACTTCCGAAAAAAAAAAAAAAAAAACTGAAAAAAAAAACTGAAAAGAAAAAATGAAAACAAAAATAAAAGGGGACTCTAGGTGATCCATTGATCTCTATCTTTCTTTTTTACGGCCGGAACACTCTCCTCGAATCTCTGATCGATCTTCCCCCATGTCCCATGCACCCAAGCTTACGGCACCTGATGTTGATATGGACGTTCACACCACCCTTCGCCTTATTCAGGAGCAAATGCAGCAATTACAAGTCATTATACAGCAACAGCAGGTCTTTTTACAGCAGCAGCAAACAAGATCCAACAACTGGAAGCCGAATCCATTGAGCAGAACGGCAGACTGGTCTACAGGAACCCTCGAGCGACCCTCACCAAGCTTTGTCAGGACCTTCTAAATGTTTATCTAGCCATTGGCGAACCCAAGTTCTTCGACTCGGAACTACCCAAGAACCACTGCGATAAAATAAGGTTTAGACTCACTTTGTAAGTAACGAGACAAGAATAAGGTTGTATTAGGGCTCACCAGGAACGATCTCTTATGTCGTTCCTGGTGGCTTAGTTTTAGCTAGTTCATGTCTTCATCTATCTATGATCCACAAGGCGAAAACGCGACAACCACAACGTTTTCAACTGGAATGACTACCACTACACTGAAGATATGGATTATAAGCCTCCCCCGGTTCTGCAGCGCTCCGAAGTTACCTTCACAGACACGGCTAAGCGGCACGAACGCGATTTGGTATCGATCCAAGGATTTTTGGCTCAATCGACCCAATTCTTCGACATTTTCGCCTTTGAAGCCTTGGAAGACGGAGACGAACAATCGGATCTCGGCAAGAAGATTCTGGTCTCCTCAACAATGTACGCATATCTACAGCCCACGACGTTGCCAGGATCAGTTGGATGCGAGAGAATCTTTACCTCGATGAGCTTGTTATCAAGCATGGTAACGACAAGGAGGAATCCCTCTTCAATTTGGAATCACTGGTGTCGTGATGTGGGTCTACAACGGGGAATACTCTCTGTTAATGAACAAGAACTAACCACTACGTTACTAAAGACTACAGGCATATAATCGTTGAAAAGATAGATCTAAGTCCGTACCTGGTGAGGATCAGATGGACTTGGGACCCAGAAAGGTATGCAAGGAAAAGGCCCGAAACGTAAGGTAAGGAAACGAAACGACGGGTGAGCGAATAAGTCTACAGAACAGAAGGTGGAAGATCCATTAATGAATAAGGGGAACTATTACTATTAACAATGAAACAAGGCACTTGCGCACTGAAACAATGGTTCAGGGCACTTACCAAAATAGAACCAGAAAGATCTCGTGGTTCCAAATAGAGCAACGAGGGCGCGAAGGTAGTGCAAAGTAAGCGGATGTTCTGAATTCTACAGATAGTGATACGAAAAGGGGACCAAAGGATAATAAAAGTGGGGATCTATATTAGCCAAATGGCACCGAGAGCATAAAGGACTGAGTTCTCTGAGGAACAACTGGGAGAGTTCCAAGGAGTCCGCATATTGTAGGGCTGATCGTGGTGATGGCGAGAAAAGGAATGCTGACAGTGAAGTAGACCCCGTATATCGTTGCTGCCGATAGGAATTTGATCCGCAAATCGATCCGTTCTGGACTGTTACACCGTTAGACGATCTGTCGGCTTGTGGTTGGGTGTTGGGCTGCAACAGCGGAGGTCTTGCGGACTCGTGGACAGGGTGTGCTCTGGATGGTTATGTGCATCTCTTGGCGGTGCAGAACGTGGCAAAAGGAAAGGATCTGAACGGAGTCCCGACTGGTTGTTGGTGGATGTGTGCAGAGGCGCATCCACATCTGGAGGGCGATGGTATACCTGAGTATTGCCGTGGACTTCCAGTTCAATATGAAGAACAAAAGTCAAAAGTCGGTAAAGTGAATCAGAAAATGCAGGAGGAGCCAAATTGCTCCATCCTTCGTTTTTATTACTAGTGTTACAAAAAGATGTGGTGGCTAGGCAGTGGCGGCGATGCCTTAGGTTAGCAGTCATATTCTTTAGTAGACATAGTATTACTAGTGCGCCGAGCCCTCTTGTCTGCTCTTTGTCCTTTTACACATCACTTCTTGGACGAGAGCAGTATTGACAAGAGTTTCGCTGGCGCGCTGCAGTGTATCGTTTCGTGTGATTCTTTTGGGACGTTATTATCACTTCTCCCCCCTCCAACCTACAACCCCCTTCCCCCCCTCCGTACCAATTGAGGACTTAACAGCGGTCCTACAACTCTGGCCGTCGACCCTCTCCCCTGAGTAACACTAGCTAAGTACCCCTTAACCCACCTGTTCTTAATTAAACAAAATCGCAAGCGAGAGAACGATTCCCGTTCACATCACCACACCAGCAACAACTTCAACAGCAACAACTTCAACAGCAACATGAGCGACATATACAACCAATAGGGGTACAGATGGCACAGTACGCCCAGTTGGTCAAGGAATTCAAGGAGGTGCGACAACAGATGCTTATCCAGCATCCTCAACAACCTCGCTTCCATCACCCATCTTCTCAGCACCCTGACTTCTTTTCTCAACCTTCTCAACACCCTGGTTTCCATCTTCAACATCCTTAACATCCTCAACATCCTCAGTATCTTCAACATCCTCAACGTCCCCATTTCCATTCTCAACTTCTTCACCATCATGCTCCATATCAACAACAGCAATAACAGCAACAAGCGCCATTCAATTATATAATGCACGCAGACAAAGGTGCATGGACGCTCAGGAACGCTTGGGATGAATACCATGGGCCTCTTGCTCGTGCATATGCTGATTCGTACAAGGCTTGGAGGGAGAATCAGAAGAGACAGTACAGGCGCAGGGCAGAACTCATAGAGCTAATTAGAAAAAAGGCGGCAAGCGAAGACAAAACCATTGACTCGATCCTTGCTTGCAAGGATTACACAGGCATGAGCATCAATACTGTGAGAGAATTCCTCAAGGCTGAGAGCGATAAGGCAGCGGTGGTGGCAAAGCTGACGTAGTCATTCAGTTATTTCCTATCCAGCAAGGAAATGGAGATATTGGTGACGTTTCTTTTGTTCTAGGATGTGCCCGTGGCGACGCACTGACGCAAGTCAACCAAAAAGAACAAACTTTGAACATCTCGCCTGCACATCCACACATCTCGCCTGCACATCCGCACATCTTGCCTGCACATCTGCACATCCGCACATCTCGCCTGCACATCCACACATCTTGCCTGCAAATCTGCACATCCGCACATCTCGCCTGCACATCCAAACATCTCGCCCGCACATCTGCACATCCGCACATCTTGCCTGCACATCTGCACATCCGCACATCTCGCCTGCACATCTGCACATCTTGCCTGCACATCCAAACATCTTGCCTGCACATCTGCACATCCGCACATCTCGCCTGCACATCCAAACAACTCGCCTGCGCATCCACACATCTCGCCTACACATCTGCCCTCACTGAATTTGTTGGACGCCCATTCGTCAGGTAGGATCTGTTTCTGCATTTGTTTGTCGAAGGTGAAAATATCCTGACAATCGATTGGCTGTGTTGCTGACTAAGCATCTCCTTGCCCAAATACAAACAATATAAAATAGTGATTGCAATGTCAAAGGCGAAAGGAACCAACATTCGAGTTGATACCGCCGTCCGTTGCGACCTTTGTTCAATCGAATTCAAGTCAGAGCAACTTCACAAGAGTCATTGTTTGGAAAACCATTCATTGAAATGCATGGTAATACAGCATGACGGCCAGAAAGTTACCCTCACACGGACCGACGGTGTATTCCATTGCAATCATTGCCAGAAGTCGTTTAACTCCAAGTCTGGTATTCGGTCGCACTTGGAACGGCAGTGTTGCAAGGAGGAAGAACCGAACTCTGACCCTCCACCTCCACGACAAGCAGTGACCATCCCCGAAACCTCCCCAGCCGCTCTCATGCTGCCCTCACCCTCGATCGAGCCTACGCCCGTGCCACGCGGCCATGACGAGGCTGTGCTTTTTGCCTGTCAGCGACAAAACGCTTCTGAACTGGACAAGATTGCAACGTTGGGTGTCATCCATTTTCTAGGATTGGCACCTTTTACTGTGGAAGATAACTCGGGCATGGAGCAAAATGCGCCGGCTTACCCTGATGGCATCAAGAAGCTATGTATCGGTCCATTACAGTCTCCTGTCACCGTACCCAACCCCAATAAACGGAAGCTGATGGCCGATAACGAGTGTCAGAAATGTTCGCCTGTCACTATCCCTTGTCTGGATTCCGTCTTTGCGTTCTCGCCATACAGCAATGTCATGCGCACTCGCACCTTTGTTGAGCTCACAGATTCGATCTGCTATTTGCTAAACGAAGATTGGAACTTCCAGCCCCAGTACCGTTATGGGTGTGCCCAGGTGCTGGCTGGCTGCCTCCTAATAAACACCACGAACGGACATGCAGTCCTTGCCAATACTGTCGAGGTCTACGGACGAACGTCAATGGTGGATGCTCATAGCGAACCTTTTGGTGTCAAAAAAGGTGTGGCTGTCCGGACATCTCTTCCAAAACCAGGCGTTGCTTACTACAAGGATGTCTGGCCGTCAACCATGTTTGCTGCCATTGAGGGCGAAAAATTGGTCATTGGAACGCAGTCCTTTGATGCCTTAGTCACTTTCTCTGTCCGTCTCGACGTGCGCGGTCAAAGCTCCATGGGTGCAGCTACAAGGATCTTTCAGCTGACGAACGAGGCTGAAGCGACAGCCACAGGAATTTTTCTGGACAAGGAATCCCTGGACACGGGTGTGGCCCTCTGTCAAGACCGAAAGGCTTACCGCATCACAAACAGTCATCTTCGCTACCAGCTCCGACAACTAAAAACGAAGTTTTACGATTCGTCGACGTTTGTCCTGTGTTGAGCCACAAGTCCTCTCACCAAGGCACCATCTTCACTTTCTGCAACCACAGCCAGTCAGGAGACAGTCACCACATCTCCAGGCTTTTCTTCAAGATTGGCACGGCAGTCTTGCAAACTGGGAACAATACTGTGCTTGAAGTTGACACAGTGCGGGAATGCCGACAAAATTGTTCAAACAAGACAAGAAGCGTCCCTCCAGTGCTCGTCTCCATCTTGGGCCTTTTCAAGGACGGCACTTCCACGATTCCAGTCATTGGCAACCGACAACTGAATGGATATTTGGAAACCTTGGCCAATATTCATTCCTCCTACATCTCCGAAGTAAATAATACCGTGCTTACTGCCACTCTCCAGAGTCTTGAGGTTTGATTCACAATGGGTTCTTATTTATTGTTCGACAGCAATCAAAACTAGGGGTTTATTTTATTGTTCAACAGCAGCCAGCATGGGCATTCAAGAAAATCTGGGTATGCACTGCCTGCAATAAAAATAACTTGCCCTCGCAGACTAATGTCTTTGACGTAATTTTCAAGGCTCAATTCTTGTCTATTTTCTTGAACGCTTTGGGCGATATTCCAGAATCTTCAAAGTGGACTACTCTGCTCACTCTCTTCCCTTGCAAGTCCCCTTTCACCGTACTATTCTTCGCATCTGAAGCTATTCATGGAATCGACTGGTGTGATGTTGTCCTTGAAACCTGCGATAAAATTAAATTTTCAGGTATTAATACCTTAATGATTAACAAGACAAAGAGAGGGTTTTTTCATTTCTGCCCCAGCCAGGCACCTTCATGTACCTGGTTGCCACTAAAGTGCTCCACTTTGATGATCAAACAAAATGCGATTTCAAGGTTTTTTTTTTTTTTTTTTTTTTTTTTTTTTTTTTTGGGAAATGCTCATTCACCATCTTTGCAATCAGTGATTAGGTTCCAGTCATTCATTCTCTTAATTCACGACATCATTCGACCTTGTTCGTCTGAAGTTGCATGAACCCACATCGACTCAGTGCCGGAAATAGATTAAATATTAATTTGGTGTGAAAGAGGAAAATATGCATCCGAAAGTACAGGTCTTGGTCCAAAAGGCATCTGGTGAGTATTTCAAAAGAGCAATGGCGAGTATTAAAAATTAAGAACAGTGGTAAAGGAGGCATTAGTGGAAGACTAGTCAAAATGAGCAAGGAGAAAGTGTAAGGTTTGGTTTATTTTGTTTTGTGAAGATCATTGATCGTCTTATTTTAAAGGCTTATCCGCCTTCTCCTTTTTTGACATTTGAGGTTGTTGATATTTAGAAGGTCGCTTATGTCTTTTTAGATTGTCCAAAAATTCAACGTGGCGACGTGGGAAGATCTTTGGAAAGTTACGGCCATTGATATCGATGGACACAGGTTGGAGGCCCTTAAGTTCGGGCTTGGGATCAGGCCGAACAACTTGGAAATTGACTACATCAGCAGGGTAGGTTATTACCATGCTGATATATGTCCCAGTGGGGCAGAAGTCGTGTAGTTGTGGTGGTTGCTGTCGATCGGATGGGACGCTTGTAGTCGATTCCTGTTGCTCCTGTTTTTGTCGCTTCTTCTGCTCCTTTTCTACCTTGTCCTGCTCCTTTTCCGCCTTGTCCTGCTCCTTTACCATCTTTTTCAGCTCCTTTTCCGTCTTCCTCTGCACAGCTTGGCTGCTGACAGTTTCAAGCGCTTTCTCAACATCACTGGGATCAAGAACTTGCCGCAACTTGAGTTGCACAAAGACGGGGTATATGCAATCGTTGATCCTGACAAAAAAAAAATTCAGATCCTGAAACATGAGGGGCTGGGAAGTAAAGTGGAGGGATATCCCGATCACCCTGCTTGGAATTGTTCTCGACGTGAGCCTTCATAAGGCGCTGTGAGGTGATGTCTTCGTGTGAGGTGGCGAGTTTTGGTTGCTGATCGTCGTATCCAACAATCGTCACATCTCCCGTTAGCTCGTCCGGAAGAGAAGTGGTGGTCAACATAGGCCACAAAGAAATGGTCGACTCTGGAACGTCTCAACAAAGACAGATGGCATCATCATGACCTTTCACATGTTGCCATGTACCGAGGGTTTGTCCGAGTACAGCATCGCTCATTCTGCTGCTGATATGGATCCCTCTCCTGGGAGGCCATCCATATCCCCCTCCACCAACCATAGACTGCTATATAATAATATCTGTCAACACCTTTTAAAACAGCGTATTACGTGAGAGTACAACAAATCTCAGCAACCTTTTCCTTCCACCACTCTCCATTTTCTACATTCACCACCACTACTTTGTAATATCATCTACTTTATCTGAGAGAGCCTTGGACACGATCGTCTCCTATTGGAAATGAAATCACTGTCTGTAATATCCAGGATCCAATAGAGACGATCGTGTCCAAGGCTTTCTCAGATAAAGTAGATGATATTACAAAGTAGTGGTGGTGAATGTAGAAAATGGAGAGTGGTGGAAGGAAAAGGTTGCTGAGATTTGTTGTACTCTCACGTAATACGCTGTTTTAAAAGGTGTTGACAGATATTATTATATAGCAGTCTATGGTTGGTGGAGGGGGATATGGATGGCCTCCCAGGAGAGGGATCCATATCAGCAGCAGAATGAGCGATGCTGTACTCGGACAAACCCTCGGTACATGGCAACATGTGAAAGGTCATGATGATGCCATCTGTCTTTGTTGAGACGTTCCAGAGTCGACCATTTCTTTGTGGCCTATGTTGACCACCACTTCTCTTCCGGACGAGCTAACGGGAGATGTGACGATTGTTGGATACGACGATCAGCAACCAAAACTCGCCACCTCACACGAAGACATCACCTCACAGCGCCTTATGAAGGCTCACGTCGAGAACAATTCCAAGCAGGGTGATCGGGATATCCCTCCACTTTACTTCCCAGCCCCTCATGTTTCAGGATCTGAATTTTTTTTTTGTCAGGATCAACGATTGCATATACCCCGTCTTTGTGCAACTCAAGTTGCGGCAAGTTCTTGATCCCAGTGATGTTGAGAAAGCGCTTGAAACTGTCAGCAGCCAAGCTGTGCAGAGGAAGACGGAAAAGGAGCTGAAAAAGATGGTAAAGGAGCAGGACAAGGCGGAAAAGGAGCAGGACAAGGTAGAAAAGGAGCAGAAGAAGCGACAAAAACAGGAGCAACAGGAATCGACTACAAGCGTCCCATCCGATCGACAGCAACCACCACAACTACACGACTTCTGCCCCACTGGGACATATATCAGCATGGTAATAACCTACCCTGCTGATGTAGTCAATTTCCAAGTTGTTCGGCCTGATCCCAAGCCCGAACTTAAGGGCCTCCAACCTGTGTCCATCGATATCAATGGCCGTAACTTTCCAAAGATCTTCCCACGTCGCCACGTTGAATTTTTGGACAATCTAAAAAGACATAAGCGACCTTCTAAATATCAACAACCTCAAATGTCAAAAAAGGAGAAGGCGGATAAGCCTTTAAAATAAGACGATCAATGATCTTCACAAAACAAAATAAACCAAACCTTACACTTTCTCCTTGCTCATTTTGACTAGTCTTCCACTAATGCCTCCTTTACCACTGTTCTTAATTTTTAATACTCGCCATTGCTCTTTTGAAATACTCACCAGATGCCTTTTGGACCAAGACCTGTACTTTCGGATGCATATTTTCCTCTTTCACACCAAATTAATATTTAATCTATTTCCGGCACTGAGTCGATGTGGGTTCATGCAACTTCAGACGAACAAGGTCGAATGATGTCGTGAATTAAGAGAATGAATGACTGGAACCTAATCACTGATTGCAAAGATGGTGAATGAGCATTTCCCAAAAAAAAAAAAAAAAAAAAAAAAAAAAAAAAAAACCTTGAAATCGCATTTTGTTTGATCATCAAAGTGGAGCACTTTAGTGGCAACCAGGTACATGAAGGTGCCTGGCTGGGGCAGAAATGAAAAAACCCTCTCTTTGTCTTGTTAATCATTAAGGTATTAATACCTGAAAATTTAATTTTATCGCAGGTTTCAAGGACAACATCACACCAGTCGATTCCATGAATAGCTTCAGATGCGAAGAATAGTACGGTGAAAGGGGACTTGCAAGGGAAGAGAGTGAGCAGAGTAGTCCACTTTGAAGATTCTGGAATATCGCCCAAAGCGTTCAAGAAAATAGACAAGAATTGAGCCTTGAAAATTACGTCAAAGACATTAGTCTGCGAGGGCAAGTTATTTTTATTGCAGGCAGTGCATACCCAGATTTTCTTGAATGCCCATGCTGGCTGCTGTTGAACAATAAAATAAACCCCTAGTTTTGATTGCTGTCGAACAATAAATAAGAACCCATTGTGAATCAAACCTCAAGACTCTGGAGAGTGGCAGTAAGCACGGTATTATTTACTTCGGAGATGTAGGAGGAATGAATATTGGCCAAGGTTTCCAAATATCCATTCAGTTGTCGGTTGCCAATGACTGGAATCGTGGAAGTGCCGTCCTTGAAAAGGCCCAAGATGGAGACGAGCACTGGAGGGACGCTTCTTGTCTTGTTTGAACAATTTTGTCGGCATTCCCGCACTGTGTCAACTTCAAGCACAGTATTGTTCCCAGTTTGCAAGACTGCCGTGCCAATCTTGAAGAAAAGCCTGGAGATGTGGTGACTGTCTCCTGACTGGCTGTGGTTGCAGAAAGTGAAGATGGTGCCTTGGTGAGAGGACTTGTGGCTCAACACAGGACAAACGTCGACGAATCGTAAAACTTCGTTTTTAGTTGTCGGAGCTGGTAGCGAAGATGACTGTTTGTGATGCGGTAAGCCTTTCGGTCTTGACAGAGGGCCACACCCGTGTCCAGGGATTCCTTGTCCAGAAAAATTCCTGTGGCTGTCGCTTCAGCCTCGTTCGTCAGCTGAAAGATCCTTGTAGCTGCACCCATGGAGCTTTGACCGCGCACGTCGAGACGGACAGAGAAAGTGACTAAGGCATCAAAGGACTGCGTTCCAATGACCAATTTTTCGCCCTCAATGGCAGCAAACATGGTTGACGGCCAGACATCCTTGTAGTAAGCAACGCCTGGTTTTGGAAGAGATGTCCGGACAGCCACACCTTTTTTGACACCAAAAGGTTCGCTATGAGCATCCACCATTGACGTTCGTCCGTAGACCTCGACAGTATTGGCAAGGACTGCATGTCCGTTCGTGGTGTTTATTAGGAGGCAGCCAGCCAGCACCTGGGCACACCCATAACGGTACTGGGGCTGGAAGTTCCAATCTTCGTTTAGCAAATAGCAGATCGAATCTGTGAGCTCAACAAAGGTGCGAGTGCGCATGACATTGCTGTATGGCGAGAACGCAAAGACGGAATCCAGACAAGGGATAGTGACAGGCGAACATTTCTGACACTCGTTATCGGCCATCAGCTTCCGTTTATTGGGGTTGGGTACGGTGACAGGAGACTGTAATGGACCGATACATAGCTTCTTGATGCCATCAGGGTAAGCCGGCGCATTTTGCTCCATGCCCGAGTTATCTTCCACAGTAAAAGGTGCCAATCCTAGAAAATGGATGACACCCAACGTTGCAATCTTGTCCAGTTCAGAAGCGTTTTGTCGCTGACAGGCAAAAAGCACAGCCTCGTCATGGCCGCGTGGCACGGGCGTAGGCTCGATCGAGGGTGAGGGCAGCATGAGAGCGGCTGGGGAGGTTTCGGGGATGGTCACTGCTTGTCGTGGAGGTGGAGGGTCAGAGTTCGGTTCTTCCTCCTTGCAACACTGCCGTTCCAAGTGCGACCGAATACCAGACTTGGAGTTAAACGACTTCTGGCAATGATTGCAATGGAATACACCGTCGGTCCGTGTGAGGGTAACTTTCTGGCCGTCATGCTGTATTACCATGCATTTCAATGAATGGTTTTCCAAACAATGACTCTTGTGAAGTTGCTCTGACTTGAATTCGATTGAACAAAGGTCGCAACGGACGGCGGTATCAACTCGAATGTTGGTTCCTTTCGCCTTTGACATTGCAATCACTATTTTATATTGTTTGTATTTGGGCAAGGAGATGCTTAGTCAGCAACACAGCCAATCGATTGTCAGGATATTTTCACCTTCGACAAACAAATGCAGAAACAGATCCTACCTGACGAATGGGCGTCCAACAAATTCAGTGAGGGCAGATGTGTAGGCGAGATGTGTGGATGCGCAGGCGAGTTGTTTGGATGTGCAGGCGAGATGTGCGGATGTGCAGATGTGCAGGCAAGATGTTTGGATGTGCAGGCAAGATGTGCAGATGTGCAGGCGAGATGTGCGGATGTGCAGATGTGCAGGCAAGATGTGCGGATGTGCAGGCGAGTTGTTCGGATGTGCAGGCGAGATGTGCGGATGTGCAGATGTGCGGGCGAGATGTTTGGATGTGCAGGCGAGATGTGCGGATGTGCAGATTTGCAGGCAAGATGTGTGGATGTGCAGGCGAGATGGCGGATGTGCAGATGTGCAGGCAAGATGTGCGGATGTGCAGGCGAGATGTGTGGATGTGCAGGCGAGATGTTCAAAGTTTGTTCTTTTTGGTTGACTTGCGTCAGTGCGTCGCCACGGGCACATCCTAGAACAAAAGAAACGTCACCAATATCTCCATTTCCTTGCTGGATAGGAAATAACTGAATGACTACGTCAGCTTTGCCACCACCGCTCCCACACCTTCCCTCTTTTCTTTGCCATTAATCCCACTCCCTATTCTTCTTCTAGCCTTCTCTTTGTTTTTTTCTCATTCCTCACCTCCTCTCTCTCACCTTCTCTTTCTTACCTTCAGTCTACTCAATGCTTCACAATACCATGGCCCATAATTGTCTGACTCTTTTCTGTCTTGTCAATGGAGAGGCAACATTTCAAGCCCTCTCTGTCGAAATCGACGAGACGAAGACTGTGGATCATCTCAAGGGCGCAATCAAGGCTAAGGAGGCTAGCCGCTTTTATGATGATGATGCAGACGAGCTCGCCCTCTAGCGTATCTCAATCCCAATCACCGAGGACGACAATGAAATCCCCATCCTGCTCAAGATTGTCGCCAGCGACAAGAAACTCGGCCCAGCGACACGCCTTTCGAAGGTGTTTCCCGAGGAACTTCCTGAGGAGAATGTCCATATTATTGTCCTGCGGCCTCCTCCAGGTAATGCCGACGCGTCCTAGCTCTCATTCGTACCTTGGGCATGCGCTGTAGGCATGTTTTGCTTTCTTTTGCATCATTGTTGATCGTCACGCGTATGTTCAACATAATCGCACGGCCTCCCCAATAGGGCCCTACTCCCCAATGGCAGCATCATCGATCCTGGAATCTGGAAATCTTCTCCTGGTGATCACCCCTTCCAACATGGTGCGCTTGAAGGCGGTCAGCATCCGAGGGGTGGGTTTGAATGACGCGAAGACCACAATACAGGACCTATGGCGAAAATATTACATATTAATTGCGTTGCCTTGAACGCCAGATAAAAAAACCCCTCCGCAATTGTTCCATACATGAGGACTTACATCAAATCAGTAATCTCCGTTTTTTGATATCATTTTGCACCAGGACGTCAACGCAGGTCCGCTGGTGACTTTGAAATCGGCAGCCCACACACTCGCCCTCAATCTTCCACTAAAAATGAAACGAAATGTAAGGCAGATTAACAATTGGAAATAGGTGGAACAAACAATCGACGTCCCCTGATTTCCTTGCTCCACTAACCTGGCAGATAGTGTGTGTAGCATGAACAATACTTTTCAACAGCTCCGAACGCTCGTGCTCAGAGATATCATTGTCCTCTGCCGCGTGTCCCGCTTCTCCGTGCTCTGCAGTCGCATGTCCTGCTTCCCCATGATCCGGTGTCGCATGTCCTATGCTCTTCTGCTGCCTGTTCAACTGCCTCAGATTCTTCACACTCCTATAAAGAACAGTTGCGCATACAACTTTTTTTGAAGTCATTTAATATCCCTGCTTGCGTTACTGACACACCCAGGCTATTGAAATGGTTGATACATACCAGGATTGTTCGGCTGCAGTTGTCGGGCTCTGCAGGCAGCTTCGCGAATGAAATTTTCCGCAAAGGGCTCGGCTCCTTCCACCGGAGTTGCGGCGACCTTCATTGCTGAACGCTCGCTCCGGCACCGTGCAACATATTAGGTTTACTATTGCTCTCTAGTTAGCCATTCCTTGTCGCTCTCTCTCATCTCCGACTCACTATGACACTACACCTAGAACTTAGTTGGCGACTTTGTATATATTTAGCTATATCATAGTAATGACAATCATTGTCGCTGCTCAACTCTCGTCCCCGTTCTATACTTCTCTGTCCCAGTCCTCACCTGTTTGCACACCGCGCCCAGTATACATCCGCCGCCTTGGTTTATTTCCAATTGTTGAATGCGGCTCGCAACGTGTTTTTGGTGAGCTCATCCAGCTTACAGTCGTTCACGGCCCGAGTATATTTGTTGTATGCACTCTGCTTATTGTTGCTCCCGTCCAGTGCATCAATGAATGCTTCAGCCGATTCGTTGGTGTTACTGTTGCTCTCCAACCAGAGAGTTGTTGGGGATGCACAAGGATGGAGAGCAGCAATGTGTGAATTGTGGCGGAGTGACGCGGTTTTTTGAGCATCGCTCGCTTTATGTCACGTGACGAAGACCGACTCACAACGGCACACCAACACCAACACATTGCTCCCTTTATTCCTTGCTGAGGTCGTCGGAGACCGCCTGGCTCAGAGGATACGCTCACTCACCCTCCTCGGCAACGGCAAGACAAAGGTGACTTTAGGGACTGCCTCCACCAGACAGATCCGACAGTACCTCTGCCTCTCCCCGACTCCCGAACCCGAACCGCCCCCGACCCACTCGTCAATGCACCCTGAATCTGGCACCAAGTCCAGTGGCGCAAGTTCTAGAAGACCAACATTCCCCACAGAACCCGCACTTTCTGGTGGCGATACAAGCGTGACATTATCCCATGTGGTACGCTTAGGGCCTACCGGTGGAAACAGGACGCCCAATGTAACGCTCAGGGATGCAGGGAAAGAAAGGCGGACAAGAACCGCCATGTCTTCGGATGCAAGGGCAAGTACCTAGCATGGCAGTTCATTTTGAGAGAATACACGGACAAGCCCACATGGTCCGACGAGGATCTCCATACTTTGCTCTCCTTTAAACCCCCGACCTTCTCCATTAAGCCCAAATACAAAATCACCCCCCACAACTGCTGGCGTGCTGCCTCATAGGTATAAACGCAGCAAACATCATCATCTTCCTTCACAAACTCACACAGTCTTCGGAGGAAATCTCAGACTGTATCTCCATAGAAATTAAGAAAGCGATAGCGCAAAACGATTACCTCTTCAAACTCACGGTTACAAGCCATAAATAAAATCTAAGAAATACCAAAAAAAAAAAAAAAATCCCCTTTATTCCTTGCCAAGCTATTCGCTTTTCACCTGCCCACTACGCCCAGTCAAACTCGTCCCTATCTTATCGTACCCTTCTCTCTGCCGAGTTTTTGACACAGCTCACCATCTTTGCACATCGCCATCCTCGCCCGCACTTGTAATCCTGTAGTCAGCATGTCCCAACAACTCTCTGACATCGACTGGTTGGAGAGCAACAGTAACACCAACAAATCGGCTGAAGCATTCATTGATGCACTGGACGGGAGCAACAAATAAGCAGCGTGCCTACAACAAATATACTCGGGCCGTGAACGGCTGTAAGCTGGATGAGCTCACCAAAAACACGTTGCGAGCCGCATTCAACAATTGGAAAAAAATCTTCATTCCTAACAGCAAACATAGAGGCAGCAGTGCAGTGTGGATCAGCATTTTTTTTCTGACGCTTTTACTAAACAATCTGTCGTTGCCATCTCACCATTTATATTACTTTCTGGCGTTGTGCCTGGGGAGCTCGAGGCGGATCAAATTGTAGTTAGTTAATAAATGCTCGCTGTTTCTATCGTGAAGAGCGACAGCGATTGTTGCGCAGAGCCAGTGTTAACAGTACCGGACTGTGACTAGGGGATGGCAAACTGGGATGGGGTGCATATTAATAGTCCTTTATTTTTGGATTACCAGCACGAGCTGTTTCTTAGAGAAATAAAATCGCGTATCAAAAAAAAAAAAAAAAAAAAAAAAAACCTCCCATAAGCATGTTGACTGAATGATCCGCGGTCTTCCGGACCCCAATATCCATCGCCAAGACGGTCCTGCACAAGTTTGTTGGCTACCTGGAGGCGCAGGCCTCGGAGTTGATCTGGAAACCTCGGTGCTCCGAGACGATCGCGTGGGATCAGAGCCAGGACATCTCTGCCAAGAACAAGACATCCAAGTGCGCAGGCCCCCGAGGTGACTGGAGTCAAGGATACGGTTACATCACCCACGATGGTTTTTGCCCGCGTGGCGCTTCGCTAGCCATATATGATGAGGGAAGGTGCCCTGGAGCGACCAAGGACCCATGCGCTGCTGACGGGCGGTTGTTGGAGAATTTGTTAGGAAGGAAGAGGTTGTCAATGATGGAGAGGATGGGAAGAATCCCCTTCACTCGTATCTAGTTTATTTTCTTCTGTTTAAGCTGTGAAGAGCAGCGACAATTGTTGCACAGAGCCAGGTTCCGGACCGGACTGGGGCTGGTGGATGGTGCACTGAAGAGTTTGGTCTGTAGTCCCTTTTTACTTCCAAATGACCTCTCTATGCTGTTTGTTAGGGAAAAAAAATGTTTACGAAATATAAAACCCCCACAAGATCCCAAACACCGCCCATATTCCAAGCCCCGTCTAACATCCCAAGTCCCGTCCAATGTCCAAGCCCTGCCTTGGTTCCTTCTGTTCATCCGGCCCTTAGCATAAATAGACCCCTTGTTCCCCTATCTTGTTCCCCAGTCTCCAATAACTCACTTCCATCTGTCCCCTGCCTTTCTTCTGCACAGTCTTCTTCTTATTCCTTTCATTTCCTTCATAATAAAACATAATAAAAGCAATACACATTCTTCCGAGTCTTGTTTGGTCATTGCAGATAGTCTGCAATCTCGATGTGGACCAGCTTGCGCCGGTGCTCCACAAACGTAAGCTAGAGAAATTCCACTTTTCGTGGAGTCGCTGGCGCCTCGTCTCCTCCGTGAGCTTGTTCATTTGCTGTCCGCTCCTCGCGGCTGGCAGCCAGTCCCGTTTCGCCCCTAAACGAGGTAGACAGAGTGCTTCAATTGCTGCCATTCTAACGTACATGAAGCATTATTCCACTGCCAGTACTTTCGACACTTACGTCGTCACAGACACCCCTAAGCCTTCGAAGAGGATATCAAATACATCCTACCACACACGCACCGTCATGGATTCTGTCTCCTTTGAGATATCTGCAATCGGCTTCTCAGACCTCTTGGCCCTTTAATTACAGAACAGGAGAGAAACGCAAGAATAAAAGGCGAATGGGATATGCCTTGGCATGTTCTTGGCCATGTAACATCAGCGACCCCCTCAGTCTTACATCAGTCGTAATATCTCGAGAATGCACATTTTGTGCTCGTCGACCTTAACGTTCTTCAGTTCGTCGTCTGCCGCTAGGCCGAGCTCCTTTGTCGCACAAAGACATATGCGCGTAGGGTCAACCTTTTTGTTGCCCATCATGGCTACCGTCTCCACGTTGTTCAGAATTACCTTCACCTCGTCGTCGGCCTCCGAGAATGCCTCGTCAAATATTAACGGACCCAGCTTGTCAAGCATGTCCTTTCCAAAGATAATCTTTGAAAACATCACCATCTACGCCAACAGCGTTAGAAATACTCTCAGTAGCAAATATGCGAGTGGCACGATAGAATACGAGTTTGACTCCGCAGAGCTAGAACACAATGTCGCACATACGCCAACGATGAGCGTGGAAATTGATGGAGTAACAAATAACATATCTTCGGTGTTCACATGCGTGGAGCGACTGTCGTGACTTTGGGGATTGTGATCTGCCTGTGTGCTTGTTTCGAACGGGGCAATGTATGTTCTACTCTTCCGAGTCAGGTCCTTCGCCACATGTGCGCCTTCGGCGACAAGCTCGCCAGCGGTCTGTGTCAATGATAGCACTGCTCTTTGGGTCGCCCATAATGACGAGCCCTCACTACGCTTCCAAATTTCGTATTTGTCCAAAGCGGCCGTTCGTCTTGCTTGAGGGATAATACTTTTTGATAATAGAGACTTGAAAGCTATTTCTGCATCGGTTTCAGACAAGCACTTGAAGGCGGTTGCGAAATCGCGCATGGAGAGGGCTTCTTTGTTGAAGATCTTGTTCTTCAGCAATTGCAGATGTGTGGATTTCTCAGAATTCATTGCTAAAGGTTATGCTCAGGAGTTATTAGTTAAATTCTTTTGAAATAAGAAATAATATCCTTCAAAAACAGTCATTAAAAAAGCAATTGACCACTCTGCCTCACTCCACTTCCGTCTACCTCTGCCACGCACTAAACAGGAGTGTACTAAAATGGCATCAATGATGGCGAGTTCCACCACATACTACGACATCCAACCACACTCCACTTTCCGTCTACCTCCTGCCGAACACTAAACAGGAGTGTACTAAAAGGGTACCAGTGTATATCGGATGGACGTCCTTTCTGGGTCCGCGCTCATAAACCAAAATTTTCAAAATTACCTTTTTTTCATGGAAACGAACGCTTGGTGATCTGAGATGGAAGGCATCAATAGCGATATGAGCACGTGGTAACGTCGTAGTATTTCAGATCATTCGTCTCGCAAAACTATGTAAACATGCTCACTTACATAAAGGTCGAATGAGTACGAGTTGCAATTGGGAAAAGCGCGATTGTAGGTTGTCGGCGTGTGTTTGTGTGTGTGAAGAGAGAGAGAGAGAGAGAGAGAGAGAGAGAGAGAAAATGAGTGTTTTGAAAAAATCTTCCATTTGGCATAGCATTTATCAGAGGTATTCCACGACGCCCTAGAGAGCACATGCCATACAAGCCCTTCTGAAGACCGCCACTGCCGTAGTCACTTCCCTGCTCGGCAGAGCGCGATGTGCATCAGCTGGAGAGTAACTTATGACAAGGTATTTCTACACGGATTAAGGCCTGGGTCAGTGAGTTACCCTTGAGAACCGATGGGCCGTGTG